ATACTAAAAATATATAGGTATGTTCGTATATATATATAAATATATAGGTATGTTCTACAGGATGTTAAATAAATATACTAGAATTTTAAATTRATAAACTACATTTCGTAAGCTCAAGTTTTTGTAATAACAGCAAAAATATCCTTAATTATCTCAATATCTGCCTACAAGGATTATGGGCTCTCCAGTCTCCACATATCATTTCARGTAAATGAATCCTAGTCGATATAACACTTCATTATCCTTATTAGGCTGTAGGCCTAGTGGTATGTAATAAGGACAAGTTATGCACGTTCAACAAAGGGACTATTATTGACCTGACATTTGCAACACCGCGCATTGCCAAAAAAATCAAGTATTGGGCGGTACTGGATGAGGTAACCCTGAGTGACCACTATTACATAATATACGAAGTCGACACCGGTACCCAAAGACAAACCAACATTAAGACACCAAAAATAGACGTCCGGCGGCTAGAAGCAGCCCTTACCCCAGAGACACTCCAATTGATCGCAAGCTGTGCGGACGCGAACAGCAAAGCCGTAGCTCTCACTCAAGCCGTAATTACTTGCCGCGATCTGGAACGTAGAGGAAATAGGACCAGGAGATCGGTGCACTGGTGGAGCCCGGAAATCAGCGCTTTGCGAAGAAACGCAAACCATCTGCGCAGGATATACCAGAGGAAGAAGAAACGGCTGGGTCCCCAGGTCTGCGCGAGTGAGGAAACTGATGCCAAGAGAGCGAAGCGCGAGCTGKTAACGACTATTAAATCTGCAAAAGAAGCTGCATGGAAGAGACTGCGATCAGGTGCAAAGCGACACATGGGGGCTGCCGTACAAGTTGGTAATGGGCAAAATTACTAAACAACCGCCTATTCCTGAAATAACCACTCCAGGACGACTCCGGTACATCATAGACGGTCTTTTCCCGCGGCATCCGAAAAGAAGTGATGATCTGCCTATGGGGAGATGGCGCATTGAGGAAGAGATCGCTGCGATCGACATCCCAGAACTTTGGAAAGCTGCCAGGAATCTAAAACCTAAAACTGCTCCGGGCCCGGACGGCATCACCAACGAGATAGTGAAAGCCATACTTAGCCAGTATCCAGACTCACTAATAGACTTGTACAATACATGCTTAGCTAGCGGGGTGTTCCCAGCGACGTGGAAGACCGCTAGGCTCGTCCTCCTCCGTAAAGGTGAGAAACCTCTAGACACCCCCTCCTCATATAGGCCCTTATGTCTGCTCGACTGCCTCGGGAAACTACTCGAGAAGGTGCTGGACAACCGGCTCAGAGAATATCTGGATAGCAGCGGAAGGCTCCACCACGGACAATATGGGTTCAGAAAGGGGAAATCCACCATTGATGCGCTCGAGAAGCTGAGAGGCATTGTCAAAGGTAATAAAGGGAAAGTTGGGATACTGACCCTTGACATACAAAACGCCTTCAACTCTGCCCCGTGGAACGCCATCCTTGACGCCATACACGAGAAAGACACCCCTGGTTATCTACAAGTCATGATACACAGCTATCTGAATGAGAGAAAGCTCGTTTTCAATTCCGAAGGATTGGAAACGAAGATCGATGTCACATGCGGTGTCCCACAGGGGTCGGTCTTAGGTCCAACCTTGTGGAACGTCCTCTATGACGGCCTCTTGCAAACCCGCCTTCCGTATGGAGTGGAGATCCTTGCATTTGCCGACGACGTCGCTATAGTTGCCAAAGCTATGGACACAATCAAACTAGAACACATGCTCAATGATGCGGCCCAGATAGTCCACAACTGGCTCATGAATACAGGTCTGACCCTAGCTATACACAAATGCGAGGCAATGGTAATTACCAACACAAGAACCCACAACGACATGAATATCACCATAAACGGAACCCGCGTACCAACTAGTAGATGTATAAAGTACCTGGGGATACATATTGACAGCGGATGGAAATTTAAGGAACATGCGAAAACARTGGCAGCCAAAGCAGGGAAAGTGGTTCAAGGGCTGTCTAGAATTCTACCAAACATTAGCGCCGCGAAACCCGCGAGGAGAAAACTATTAAGCAACGTCGCCCACTCCATAATGCTGTATGGATCGCCCTTTTGGGTTCAGGRCATGAGTATCTCAGGCTGGGCAGAGCTCTTTAAAGTACAGAGACGTATTCTGCTAAGGGTTGTCTCAGCATACTGTACTGTATCCAAAGATGCCATAGAGGTGATTACCAGTACTGCTCCCCTGGACCTCTTGGCTAAGAACAGGAAAACGATCTATGATACCCGAAGTAACAATGACTTTCCACCAATTACAAATGACACACTCTCAACCTGGCAGGAAAGGTGGAACCGCTCAGCTAAGGGTAGGTGGACCCACCGATTAATCCCGGCCTTGGAGTACTGGGTAAACCGCAAACACGGCAGTACGAACTTCCACGTCACCCAGGCACTGACGGGACATGGCTGTTTTCCGTCCTACTTACATAGGTTTGGTAAGCTAGACAGTCCTGCGTGCTGGTACTGCGGACACGCTACGGATGACGCCCTACATACGGTGTTTCAATGCGAAGCGTGGGAAAGCAGAAGGTGCAGAGCGAACACGCTCTTAGGTGTAGCCATCAATCCTGACAACATGGTTCAACTAATGGTTCGGGATGCAGAATCGTGGCGAATTCTAGAGAATTTCATCACCGCGGTGATGCAAAAAAAGGAGGAAGAGGAAAGGAGAAGACAAACAGCAGCAATCCACCAGCAGATATGAGCAGTACATGACAGTCCACCGAAAGGAAAAAAGAAAAAAACTTAGTTTAGTTAACTATTGTAGGCCGAAGGCCAAAAGCAGGGTGGTTAGAGGCCCCCAATTATTGTAATGCATTCCATAGTTAAGATTGTGTTTGTTTCGTTATCTTGTATATGTGTTTTCACAATAAACGATGGCGGCTGAGGGGTGAAATGACTAACGTCGGTGCCACCCTCAGCTGTCGATTACCATGTAAA